TGCAAGACAGCATGGCCCGGGGCCCACTCTGGCAAACATATGTGTATATGTGTATAGGTGTGCGAGTCTTAATAGCAGCGCGCGAAATGGTGCGCATGCACCCATGCGCTTCGTGCCTCCCCCCCCAAAAAAAGGAAGCCTCGAGGTGAGTGACCTCTACGTTCTGCACCTTGAACAGGGCCTGGCGGAAGAGGGCGGTCCTGGGGTCATCACCGATAGGCCCCTCTCACCAACGTCTTCCTGACCCTCCTCCGCCAAACCATGCCCTCCGGTTCGAGTCCCATCTGCCCGTCCACCCACCCTGGTTCACTTCGTGGGCCTGGGATCATCGAATCCAACTCCTGAGAATCCTGTCTGACAGTGCTAGTGGGAGTGCTCGGATAGCACAGAGCCCCCATGAGCAACGGTGACATAACATGAGATGAGTGGGGAGTTTGGGCAGCGCCCTCCTAGACACATCGTGACCACACCACAGGCAACCTCCCGCAAGAAAAACCCAACCCTGAGACCCAGGACGCCCATGGATGTTCGGGATGGTCCGCGGGGAGCTCTGAGGAATGCTGGTTGTGCGCCGTCCGTCGTTCTGCGATACAGCAAGGGCCCGGCCACAGGAAACCTGCCACAAAAAAACCCAACCCTGAGACCCTAGGACGACCATGGACTTCTCGGGCTGGGAACGCCACGCTCTTCCTCGCAAAACCATCGACGCCCAAGACACCCCAGGGCACTTTGGAGGCAAGCAGGGCGCCTCGGCATGCGCCCCCGCTGTGGGCGGACACGGGCCGAGGGGAGGCCCGGCGGGGAAGCGCGAGCGCCCAGCCGCGCGTGCGCGACGCAGCGCAAACGACAAAGCCGGAGCTCGGAGGGGGCGAGGGGGGCCGCTGGGGGGGGAGGAGGAGGGGGAGGAGGGGGAGGAGGGGGAGGAGGAGGGGGAGGAGGAGGAGGAGGAGGAGGAGGAGAAGGAGGAGGAGGCTGAGGAGGAGGAGGAGGAGGCGGAGGACGGAGGACGGAGGTGGGTGCCTGGGTGCCAGTGGCATCGATCATCGTCTTGCTCAGTCTCCGCTCCGCTCCTCCTCCTCCACCTCGTGGACCTCCCGTCGTCGCGCTCCGCCTCCTGTTTCTCTCACGTTCCTGGTTGTGTGCGCTCTTCTCAGTCGCTGGCCATCCGCCCCTTCTTCTCCACCATCCCCCTGCTCACTCCTCCTGCTCGCGCTGCTGCTCCGATCTCCAACTGGAGCTTCCGGAAGCGCCGACGGTCCCCAGGAGACACTCAAGCCTCTCTAACAATATCCTTCTCCCCCCCGCATCCCTTCTCCTGCTCCTTCCCCGGTCCTTACCACCACCCCATCCAACTCCTCCATCTCTGTTCCTGATACAGTCGGGGCGTTGACCTAAGGAACCCTAAATAAGGAACGAGGCCCCTTTTCTCCATGAGCTAAACTTCGATTTCCATAACCATGAAGAAAACCCGAGGCAAGCCGTGTAGCAATCACGGAACACCGAGCCCCTCCCCAACGAAAAGGGTTCCTTCTTCAGCGCCCCGACTGTAACGGCTTCTCCCTTTCAGCACACCCAGACGTGGCGGCTGGGGGGGCCTGGCGTGTCGCTGGGGCTCTCCTAACAGCCTGGGGTCCTGAATCGTCAAGTGCGCCAACGATTTCGAAGACGGAGGGCACGGCGTTGGCAAATTGTGGCTTTCTCGCTTCGCGCCGCGCCCCTGCCACTCAAAATGTTGCAAAAGCTCCCAGGATGGAGAAAGATGTGGAGCAGAGTGTGAATCTCGCCGTAGCGCCGCGCACATTGAAGCATGTGCGACAGTCTCAAGGATTCGTATGGTGGTTGAAGTTCCTGATGTTGTGTTCTGGCAGGATCTAAAATTGTCAGGATGCCAAGGTCACGATTTAAAATTGACAGGCAGGGCACAGCAGTCACGTTGATCCGCAGCGATAAAGTCGTAGGAATGGTGTTCTGGCACGATTGAAGGTTCTCAGACGGTTGCTCTCTGATGAACCACTTCCCGCAGTGAAAGTGCGTTCTTGCAGGGACCTATGAAACAGGGCATTTGACGGGAGCGTTTGATGCAATATCGCTGATGCGCCCTGGGTATAGACTGGTGCTCCTCCTCCTCCTCCTCCCGAGGGGGTCTCCTGATCTGCTCCTGGACCTGCGCGACCTGCAGAGGAGGGGGGCAGGCAGGAGGGCGGTGCGGCGGGAGGCGGCGAAGAGCAGGAGGCGAAGAAGACAGGGGGAGGGGCGGCGGAGGGGGGGGGTGGAGAACAGCAGCACCTCGCGGGGAGGGGCAGCCGAGATGCGGGGGAACGGGGGCCACATGCGAACCCTACCCCTTACGCCCAACGATTTCTGAGGGGGAGCGTGGGGTTCACTTCGCTCGGGAGCTCCCGCACGAAGTGGACCCCATCCTCCCCCATCCTCCCCCTCAGCACCTCGCCAGCAGATCGACGAGAGGCCCTCGACCGCGAGCCCGCACGTCCATGGGCGGGGTGGGCTAGTGAGCGCGGGCAAGATTCATATCCATATCCAGGGCGTCTTGGACTTTCGTGGAAGGGGCGCCGCAAGGCCGAGGCGCACTGGATATGGATAAAGTTCGAGCCTCCAGTAGGGGCCTGACTTTTATCCATGTCCAGTGCTCCTCGGCTTTCTTGGGAAGGGAGTCCGAACCCCCAAGCTGCAGTGGACATGGACATAAGTTTTGCCCGCAAGTCAGGCCCCTATCGGCGATGGCTGGGCCACTGGGGGGGGGGGGGGGGGGCAATGCGTGCCCTCCCTGAGCGTATCTCCCCCAGCGCTGTCCCTGGATCCTGGGGGGAGGGGGAGGGGGAGCAGGAAGGGGAAGGGCTGGGGGAGGCAGAGGTCAGGGGGGGAGGGATCGAGAGAGGGGTGCGAGGGAGTGGATCCAGCAGGGAGTGACAGGGAGGATGAGGAGGGAGAGGGAAGGGAGGATGCGGAGAGACGCGATATAGCGGAAGGGCCCCCGCGATAAAGGGGCACAAGGGGGAGGCGGATGGCCCAGGATCATGACAGCAAACAGGCCGACGGAGCTCCTGTCACAAGACGGATCGGCGCAGGCGCGCGCCGTGTCAGGGGAGGGGGCGGTGCATACGCCTACCACGCTGAATAAGGAGCCTGACGCTCATCCCGACGTCTAAGATTGGCAAGCCCAAGGTGACGACAGTCTCAAGGATGGGCCCCCAAGAAACGGAGGTAGTGTTTCAGATCGTCACCAAAGAAGGCGATGCAAACCGAACGGATTTGGATCTGCTTCAGGCTGGTAACTGAAGGCCTCCACACTGGGGCCAGAGTTGATGGGGTCGGAGGCTCGCACCGCATCGGCGATGGACCGCCGATGCACAGGCGACGTCGGGACGGAGAATCGGACTCCGGACCGCGTCTGATCGCAAATGTACCGCCGATGCGGCGTGATCCTCCAGCCACATCTGCTCCTGCCCCATGTGGGAAGCCTGGACATGTGCAACCAACATACCGCCATGCCGTCCACGGCGACGGCACTGCCGAAGCCCGACCAAGCCGACAGCGAGACCAAAGCCGACGGGCCGCAGGCAGGAGGAGGAGGAGGAGGAGGAGGAGGAGGAGGAGGAGGAGGAGGAGGAGGAGGAGGAGGAGGAGGAGGAGGAGGAGGGGGAGGAGGAAGGAGGAGGTGTCAGACGGGCACAGAGCTCTGAGGCTCGGAGACGCCCAGCGGCGCAGAGTGGGCAGGCAAGCTTCCGCCGAGACCCCGAGGGGATGCTGCTGGGCGCGCACGCGCGCCCGTGCGCCTCCTCCCCCTCCTCCCTCCTCCTCCTCCTCCTCCTCCTCCTCCTCCTCCTCCTCCTCCTCCTCCTCCCCCTCGTCCTCCTCTGCTCAGCGTGTCGCTGCGGCGCGCTCCATCTGAAATCGCGCTCCGTGCTCCTGGCGGCGCCTCTCGCCGATGATGCTCGAGCGCAGGATCGATCCACCGAGGGCCTGGAGGGCCTGAAACTGAGGAGGAGCGCCGTGGCAAAGGTCGCGACACCGTGGAGAGGTACCCCCCGAGAGCTCGCGGCCACGCCTCCATGAGGCAAGGTTCGGGCACGGGAGCGATCCACAAGGGTCCCGAAATGCAGGAATGGGACTTGGTACAAGGCAGTTTTTAATACATAGGATTGTTAAACATATTGGATGTTGATGCCTGGCTAATGTATGAATAAATGTATGCATGAACTCATCGTTGTTTTTAATACTCAATCCCGACATGTTTAATGCATGATCCGCACGTGGAGCATGTATTAAAAACGGCACTGTATGGGGGAAAGGGTTCGTGGTGAAGCTGCCCCTTGACCCAGGCGCTTCCCAAGCAGCCCAGCGAGGGCCCACGGCCCAGCGAGCGGTAAGACCCTCTCCTCCTGGATCGCTCTCGCTCCACGGCGAGGAAGCACAATCTGTCGGGCTGTCACGACGCACAAATTGGCGGCTAGCCTAGGGGGTAAGTAAGAAAGGGCAGGTCTCCTCAGCAAGCTCGGCCGTCCTCCGGCTTCCTGAGATGTATCCTGAAGCCTTCCTCGAAGGCACCGAACAGTTCTCAGACGGCGCGAGGGCTTCTGTGAGGTCCCGCCGCCTCTGAGAAGGCCTTCTCGAGAAGAAGAAAAAACTGCATAAACATAAACTTTTGGCGGTCCGCGCGGATTTCTTGGATCCGCGCCCGAATCCCCCCCGAGCGCGCCAGGGGCAGCGCCGGAGGCGCCGCCAGAAGGGCCCAGCGCAGATCCAAGAAGTCCGCGCGGAGCGCCAAAAGTGTATGTATATGTCTCTTGTTTCTCTTCGCTTCTCCTGCTTTACTGTTTCTCTCGCCACGGCGCACAAATTCGGGAGGAGGCCCCCCACGGCACCTTCGTGGGGTACAGGCCCACGGAGGGGAAGTCCGTCATGAACTGCGGGTTCAGGCCTACCCCCTCCAGCACGGAGGTGGGCGCGCGGAGGCGGTCGAACTCCGTGCGGATCCACTCCTGTTCGCTGTTGGCGCGTCGCACCCCCACATGCCACGCCCTCCTCACTCCTCCTAATGTGATTGGCCATTGTTCTTCCCCTCCTTGCTCCGTCCCGCACCCGCCTCCATCTCCGCCGCCTCCTTCGCCTGCTCCTGGAATGCGCATCGGCAATCGCACCAGCAGCTAGTCGAAGTCCATACAGCCACATGAAGCATGAGAAAGACCAAAAGACAATATAGGGCAATCCATTTGGACGAGAACTAAATGGTACACTTCAGACCTGCAAGGTATGCCTTGCCATGGAGCACGTCGAACTGCAATCATTGGCTCAGCTCAAACCCTCATTCGGGAGTCCCGGCTGCATGCAAACCGCATCGGTGGCGACATCTTGAACTAATTCTCGTGTACCAGCTAGCATGAAACCGGAAGCATCGCGGCTGCGCGTATCGTAAGCCAGGTGCTTACAGTAGGAGCCCGACCACAAGAAACCTTCCACAAACCCAACCCTGGAACCCAACCTTGGTGTGGGAGCGTCACGCTTTCCACAGCAAAACCATCGAAAACCCAAGAAACCCAGGGCACCCTGGAGGCAAGCAGGGTGTTTCTTGCATGGGCCTTCCCTTTTGCTGTCCCCCCTTTTCGTCCGACCCGAAACGCCGTGCCCGCGAGGAGGGGGAATCGATCAAGCGGCTTGGTGGGCCTTGGGCATGGCATTTTTTAATGTTCACCCTGGCGGCAAGCAGGGTGCTTCTTGGCATGGGCCACCCCTGCACCGGCGAGCACGAAGCGAACAGTCGAGGCGCCAAAAGCGAAAGCGGCCCGTCCGATGGCCCAAAACAGCGTTTGGGCGCAGATCCGAAAACATGATTGGCCCATGATGGGCCCTAGCATGAAAACGAAACGGAAACGAAGAGAAAACGAAAACGATCCCCACGAGAGTGCCAAAACAACGTTTTGGTCGCCCCCTGCCCTCTCCTCCCCTCCTCCTCCTCCAGCCCCCGCCGTCGCCGCCGTCAATCGACGCCCCCCCCTCTCGGGGTCCCCGCTCGAAGCTCCGATCTTGCTGCAGGTTGGCGCCCAGGCACTTGCCATCGCTTGGACATCCATTCTTGGTGCATTTGTCGGTTTCGTGCCTTTTTCCGCACAATGATCCAGGATGTTACTCGATGGTCCTTGCCGACAAAATGCCCACGTCCGAGCGATGCCAAGAGCCGGGATCCCAACATGGATTGCTTTGGCATAGCCCATTATGATAGACAGGGGGCCCGCGGCAGACGGCGAAGCCCTTACTGATTGTTGTTAGTTAGAAAGTCATTCACTGTCCCATGGCTTCCGTACACCCCGGTAGCACGTTGGAAACTTGCACAATTGTGAAGGGGGATTCAGTGATTTCGCACATGCCCGCAAGGGTAATTCTCAACCTCTCGCATAATCGCCGGATGCGGAAAACCCATCAATGGACCCTGATTGCTTCTTGTATGAGCCTGTTCACGGACATGCCGCTTGTGTATACATATATATATATACACGTGCAGACCCGGAGGACAGGCCGGCATCTGGACTGACAAACAAACGTTCCCGTCTTGCTCCTCCTCCTCCTCAACCTCTTCCTCCTCCTCTTCTTCAGCATCCCCTCCTTGGCACGAAAAAGAACGTGCCCTGAGGAACTTCTCCCGGGGAGCTTTCTCCCTGAGTCGCTGATTGACAAGCCTGGGGCCCGTGGAGGCCACCATCAAGCCAAAAACTGCAAAACAACTACTTAAACCTCGTTTCCTCAGGACCCTTTCCTTCACGCTGCCACGAAACGCTGTACCAGGAAGGGGAAGGGAGGAGCGAGGAAGGGGAGGAGGAAAGAGGAGTGACTGAGAACGCAGGGCGCTCTCTTCAAAACGACGACCCAATACCACATGATGCTTGGGAAAATGTGTTTAACCTTAGACTGGGAATGTCCTCCTACAGGCGGATTTTGAACGACCAAAAACACGATAGTCAAAACATACACAGAACAAACAAATAGTATTAAACAAATCGTCCCCAGACTGTCTTGTGCCTATGTTTGAATAATCCTCCCGTAGAGGGACGGGCCCGACTGAAGTTCAACTCTCTTTTACTCAGGACCACTTTTCGGGAGCGGCCAAGAGAGGGGTGTCCAAGAGGGGGGGGTGCAAATCATGACCAGCGGCATGTGCGCGGCCCAGCGGGGGGGCCATGGACGTAATGAAATAAGAAGAGGCGCCATGAAATCTGGGGAAATATCATGGCCCCCGCCATGATATCCACCCCCCCCTTAGTCATCACCCCCCTCTTTGCCGCCCCCGACCTTTGCTTCACGGCGACCTCCCTCCTCCCACACCCGCCCCCCGGCCAGCCGCGTCCGCGCGAACGCGGGCCAGCCAGAGGGACGTGCCACCAACCCCGGCCAGGCGCAGATCCGCTCCCAGACCCCGTTTTTTTCTTCAAAGAGAGCATGAGCTCTGGATGTACGCAAATCGAAACAGTGACGTAGGCATTGGACGAAGTTTCCTGAAAACATGCGGAAAATCGTTGGAGAACTCAGGAAAGCTCGGGCGTTGGCAGAACTGGGTTTGGTGGGACCTAGTTTCGTGACGTGTACCGGGGGGCGCCCCCCAGACCCCGTTCCACTAACCGGAACTGCCGTCACCCGAAAAACACCAGCTACGGCAGACCTGGTTTAGTGATTCTGGCTAATTGAGGGGCTCCGAGGCCCTACTACTAACCGGGTCCCCTGACCTGGGGTCCTGGCTACACCCGAAAAAGTTATTGTTGAAAAAGTCATCCCTCAGCGTAGGGGGGGTCGGAGTGGGTCGACTCCGCATGAGCGACGATCAACAACGGGCTTCACGCGAGGTGACGTACCGACCTTACTCCGCGGCTTACGCGGGCGGACGGCGCGGCACGCCACAATGAAAAAAGAGCGCAACTATGCGCGACCTTGCGCGAGCAGCTTACGCGCCAATGTCGGCGCAAACAACCCAGTGTTTGGGCGTCGCCCACTCAGAACGAAAACCCGCCTGTAGATCAGCCAGTTGTGGGGAAAACACAAGGTACCATTGCCGCTACTCATTGGACATCTCAAGGGGTGCGCTCTGACCATGATTTCGAAGCGAATCCAGCGGTGGCGACGAGGGCCACCCAGAAGGCCCAGAAATGGGAAACTGGGCGACGAGTAGCGCTACGGGTAAAGTAGGGGCCCGAACACAAGATACATCCCACAAGAAACCCAACCCTGACACCCCAGGGTGTCCATGGATCCTTGGCATGGGAACGTCGCGCCCTCCATCGCAAAACCATCGGAACACGAGGCAAGTAGGGTGCTTCTTGGCATGGGCCTCCACTGTAGCTTGGCGACGCGCTTAGAAGGAGGCTGCTTCTTAGATGGCGCCGGCCGTACGTCCATAGAGAAGGCCCGCGCCTTCTAAGAAGCAGGGGTGCTTCTAAGAAGCCCTCCCCCCTCCCCCTACCCCCCTCTGCGCGTGGCTGAGCATGGGCCTCCACTGTAGTCTGCCTCCGAAGGCCGAGGCAGGGATCCGATGGCCCTGGCTCGGAGGGGCCAGGGAGACCACGGCGGCTCTCCGATCCCGTCCAGGTCCGCTCGACGAGGGCCTGCCACGGCATGTGCTCGGAACCCAGAAAGGGGCTGAGAACAGAAAGAAGGTGCTTAGAGCATAAACCCGATGTGCTGAAACAAGACATTTGCTCAGAACCCAGAAGGGTGCTGAGAACAAAAACAATGCTCTTACAGCATAAAGCCGATGCTTTGAAAGAAGACGGCCCCAGCCAGAAACGTTCTAAGAACATTTCGTGGAAACCACAAAAAGTATCATTGGAATGTTCTTTGGTAGGCCTACAGGCACGCCAGGGACCGACCGTTCTGGCAGTTCTGTAGGCCTACCACGGCATGCGCTCAGAACCCGAAAAGGTGCTGAGAACAGAAAAAATGTGCTTAGAGCATAAAACCGATGTGTTGAAACAAGACATGTGCTCTGAACCCAGAAAGGTGCTGAGAACAGAAACAAGTGTGCTTAGAGCATAAAGCCGATGTGCTGAAACAAGACGGCCCCAGCCAGAAACGTTCTAAGAACATTCCGCGGAAACCGCGAACAGGTTCTTGGACCAGTCTTTGGCAGGCCTATAGGCACGCCAGGACGCTTCGCCACTGCTTGACTCCCGCGGTCACTCCAGACCTGTCCGTCGAGCTGGATCCGGCCGCAGCGACGATGCACAAGACGCCATGGAGGGCCGCCGTTGTCCCGACTGGCCCTCCTTCGATTGGCCGGCCCCCGTCAGCGCCGACGCGCTGACGGGGGGCGGCCAATCGAAGGGCCCAGCCGGCAGGGCCCGGCCCAGCCACCTCTGGAGCCCCCCCACCAGAAAGAGGGAAAAGAAGGATCTCGGGGCAACAGAGATCAGACGTCTTGTTTTGCTAAGGCAGCCACGCTGCCAGGTACCAGAAGGACCGCTGAACAAGAAGCGAAGCCCCTTTTTGACCCCAAAAGCGCCCGAACTGCTTTTATTTCAGCATCTGGACTTTTTGTTGCTTCAGTACGGGATCCCTGAAGTCCCGACCCTTTCTTCAGGGCCAGCTGTTCGTTCCCATTGTTCTGTGTTGGGACGGGCCTGGGGCCTAGAGAGGGGCCCAGAGGCCCAATGCTTGTCTCGCGGCCGGCCGCTGATGCGCGTGCGCGCATGGTCGCAACATCCCAGACGGCGAAGAAACGTCTTGGGCCCCTCTTGGGGCCCTCTCCGACCATGTAGGGGTCCTCTGGTGGCCCCCTTGGGCCCCCCTGGGGACTCTTGGGCCGTCTTGGAGCTCCCTTGTGCTGCTTGGAGCTCTCTTCAGGCCGTCTTGTGGCCCTCTTGGGGGCCTCTTGGGCCGTCAGGGGCCGATTTGGGGGGCCTCTGGTGCCGTCGTGGCAGCTGCTAGGACTGAAACATCAAATATCCTGGAAATGAGAAATTCTTGCAGAGGAAATGCTTGATTGTTGCCCTTGGGGGGG